AGTAGTAGTAGTAGTAACAGTAGTAGTAGTGGTAGTAGTAGTAGTAGTAGTAATAGTAGTAATAGAAGTAGTAGTAATAATAACAGTAGTAATGGTAATAGTAGTAGTAACAGTAGCAGTAATGACAATACTAAAAATATAATCAAATAATAATATTAATTACATTAATTACATTGCAACTTTAATAGTTTAAATGATTATATATTAATTTTAATAACAATTATAAACAAAGAAAATTATTAAGAAAAATATTATAGTTTTATTTATAAAAGTAATCAAATTATAATTAATAATAATAATAATAATAATAATAATATTAAAAATAATAATAATAATAATAATAAAAATAATAATAATTCAATAGAAATAAATATAACAATTGGTATATAATTAATAAAATAAAGAAGAGATTTTAAAAAATAATTAAGATAATATAAGTAATACTGGGGAAATATTTTTGATAATAAGAAAATAATGAGGAATAAAATAAATTATAATGAATGAAATATGTAACTGGTAATAAAGAATTATATTATTGATAATTATAAATATAATTATTGATAATTATAAATATAACTATTGATAATAATGAATGTAATAACTGATAATAATATGTTTATTGATAGTAATGAATATAATTGATTGCAATAATTATAATTATTGATAATATTTGATATTATTGATAATGAATATAATCATCGTTAATAATTAATATAATTATTGATGAGTATAATTACTGATAATAATTAATGTAATTATTGATAATGAATATAGTTGTTGATAATAAGGAATATAATTATTGATATTAATGAATATAATTATTAATAATAATGAATACAATTACTGATAATAATGAATGTAATAATTGATAATGAATATAATTACTGATAATGAATGTGATAATTGATAATAATGATTATAATTAATGATAATAATGTGATAACTAATATTCTTCTACTACTCTTTCAACTATTATCATTCAACTACTGCTACTATTACTATTATTATTATCCTACTGTTATTACTACTGTCATTGTCATTCAACTATTACTTCTACTTCTATTACCACTAAAAACTATTAGTATTACTATTACTACTGCTATTACTTCTTTCACTATTACTCTTTTACTACTACTATTATTGACCTACTGTTGTTACTACTATTACTAATATTCTACTACTACTATTATTACTATTATTACTACTATTTACTACTATACACCACATCACCCCCCCCCTACTACTACTACTGCTTCGACTACTACTACTACTACTACCACTCATAATAATAATAATAATAATAATAATAATAATAATAATAATAATAATAATAATAATAATAATGAATATACTTATTCAAATAATCAGAAATATGCTTGTATATCCATGAAGTTCGGTGTATACATATAAATATGTATTAATCGCTGTATGTGTACACATACAAACACACTGATGTATGGCCTGAGGGAGGTGTTGAAGGGTAGGTACTGCTGAGGTAGGTGAAGTTGAGAGAGTATACCTAATTTCACCGACAGTAGGTGAACCAGGGGTATGTGTATACCACTCACCTTGCATATTAGGGGAGTGCATCCCGTAGCTGCACTCTGGTCCACTCGCTGTGTAGTTTGAGTGTATTTCCGTCCACTCTGCCCTGTCAAGTAGCGGTTTGAAGCGTCTAATGTCGAAGCTGCCGTCGGAGTAGCGGTGTTGGTAGCGCTGAGGTAGATCACCGGCGCGTCTACCTGCTGGGGGTACAATTTGGATTCTCCGCTGCGTAAGTCCCCGGCGGTGGCGCCCTTGGGATTACGCGACTATGGTACGCACGTCCCAGGGGTAGTCTGAGGTCTCTCTCGTAGGCTTAGAGAGCGGGGAACGGGCCGAAAATCGAGACCGTGGAGCGTGTATGCTGGACGGTAGCACGGCGCGCACAGGTCCGCCATGTTGGTGCTGGTGACGGCGGTGGGTTGTCGGGCGGTCCTGTTCGCTCGGGGAGTTCCGATTGGTGGTGTGGGCGTGTGTGGGCGGGGCGAGGCATCACCGACACACGCACGCACTAGAGCATCGCCGCGCTGCCAACCCGCCTCGCAGCGTGGAAAAACCGAGCGAATGGTCGGTGGTGTGCGCGCGAGGTCGGTGTGTGTCGGTGTGGTGCTTGTGTAGAGCGGTGCAGCGCACAGACGTGCTGTGTTCGGTGTTGATGGCGTGCCTCGCCTCCCACGCCTCGTACGGTGTATAGCGAGTGTGTTTTGCGCTCCTCCCACGCCCTCCACGCTCGGGTGTATTTGTGTTGTGACGAGGTGTAGCGGGGGTGTTAGTGTGTGTGTGTGTGTGGGGGGGGGCACCCCATCTCTCTGTGGCACTGAGTGCCGCTCAGGTTGGAGGTGAGGGCCCAGCATGGTCCCCTGTCCAACATGTTAAGCCAACAAAACACTCCAACCACCAACATGAACGCGCTAGGCACTGTGTACGCCACCAAGCGCAGACGACGCAACGGCAAGAGGTAAGACTGGCGTCCCTTGGAGGTGGACGTAAATAACGTATAAAATAACGACGTGGTGGAATAAAAACCCATTTTCATTATAGTACATTATACTACATTTTCATTATACTACATTACATTGCATTTGCGTCTGTATTTCCGTCCCCTGTGGGTGTCCAGCCCATCCGCCGACGTCCTTTTACACCTAGATGGCATCCTCTATCCATCTCATAAACGATATACAACACCGGCATTCCCGTCATCCCTATCCACACGTGCCCGGGCGAGGGATAGGTGACACAAGCCTATCCCTCTGATTACTTCCCTGACCTTCTCTAAGTACCTTCTAAATAGGGGAAAAGTGGCCACCTATCCAGGTACTATCCTCACCTCTCCATCTTCCAACTCTCGTTTAATTAGCGGACGGAGGTTCGAGCCTCTATCCCTCCTTGTAATGTATGTAATCCACACGGTTTTAGCGGTCCACGGAAAAAAATAAATGTCTTCATTATTCACGGGAAAGCGCTAAACCCACGGGAGTCACAACAGAGCTGGGGAAATAGGAGATAATCAGGTTTGATGCGAGGAAAGGGGTGGGATGTCCAGGAGGCCACGGAGTCATCATGCGATAGCGCAGTACTGGTTAGCTGGTCGTTGGGGGTCGTACGACTGCACGGATCGCCTTACCAGTCATTGCCAGGAGTCGTTGCAGGTCGTGTCATCACCCTTCTCATTAATTGAACTCTTACCAGTGGTCGTTATAATTTATCTAAACGCCCACGTCACCTTAACGACCCTTATCAGTGGTCGTTATAACTTATATAATCACCCACGTCACTTTAACGACCCTTATCAGTGGTCGTTATAATTTATCTAAACGCCCACGTCACCTTAACGACCCTTATCAGTGGTCGTTATAATTTATATAAACGCCCACGTTACCTTAACGACCTTATCAGTGGTCGTTATAATTTATATAACTGTCCACGTCACTTTAACGACCCTTATCAGTGGTCGTTATAATTTATATAAACGCCCACGTTACCTTAGCGTCCCTTATCAGTGGTCGTTATAATTTATGTAATCACCCACGTCACCTTAACGACCCTTATCAGTGGTCGTTATAATTTATATAATAGCCCACGTCACCTTAGTGCCCCTTATCAGTGGTCGTTATAATTTATATAAACGCCCACGTCACCTTTACGACCCTTGTCAGTGGTCGTTATAATTTATATAATAGCCCACGTCACCTTAGTGCCCCTTATAAGTGGTCGTTATAATTTATATAAACGCCCAAGTCACCTTAACGACCCTTATCAGTGGTCATAATTTATATAAACGCCCACGTCACCTTTACGACCCTTATCAGTGGTCATTATAATTTATATAAACGCCCACGTCACCTTTACGACCCTTATCAGTGGTCGTTATAATTTATATAAACGCCCACGTCACTTTAAAGACCCTTATCAGTGGTCGTTATAATTTATATAAACTCCCACGTCACCTTAACGACCCTTATCAGTGGTCGTTATAATTTATATAAACGCCCACGTCACCTTAACGACCCTTATCAGTTGTCGTTATAATTTATATAAACGCCCACGTCACCTTAACGACCCTTATCAGTGGTCGTTATAATTTATATAAACGCCCACGTCACCTTTACGACCCTTATCAGTGGTCGTTATAATTTATATAAACGCCCACGTCACCTTAACGACCCTTATCAGTGGTCGTTATAATTTATATAAACGCCCACGTCACTTTAAAGACCCTTATCAGTGGAATAAGAATGATTTAAATGATCCAGAAAACCGTGAAGTTGAAGGGACTGATTACCCGAAACTCATTCTCTTCTTCCACCATTCATCTCTCTACAGGACTGAGGAAGCCAAATGTAGCACAAGTGTCTCATTCTTCAACAAGAATGAGAAACTTGCTGTGTTTGTTTTCTCCCTCTCAGCTCCGGGCCAAACGTTTTTCCCTCTCAGCTCCGGGCCAAACGTTTTTCCACAGCAAAGATACCCAGGTGTTGCACTCGTGGGTGAGTCATCTGTTTGTCGAGTGTCAAAGCCATCTTTGTAGTAAAACCCAGTGGGGGGCCGCTGGAAGTCACTATACTGGAAGAGAACTACGGCAGGCCTACTGGCCTATGCTTGGCTAGTATTGTCGGTACAATGTTTTTGGGAGGTATCTTCATTTTTAGCACGTTTTGCCACCCAGAAGTCTCATCAGTTATAATACAATGTACAACAACAAGAGTTCGGGGTAATCAGTCCCACAGCCCCGCAGAACTGGACACAAAAAACACCGAAGATTCTCTGTATTGTTCCGAGGATGAACGAAAATACACAATACCGTGACTGAAACAATACACACATGACCACACGTAGGAGAGCGAAACGTGTGACTGGTTAATGGTTCAAGTGGGACCGAAACGTTGTCGTAAGTTCCATCCTCCTGAATACGGGTCATCCTGAGGGACTGACTGCTTTATCTTCCACTGTCTTCCAATATCGTGTCTCGAGCGGGACTGATAAAGTGTTAGGTAAATGAACACACATTTAACTAATGTGACATTTTATTGTGGCAACGTTTCGCTCTCCAGGAGTTATGTAACGGCTTGACGAAGCTCCTGGAGAGCGAAACGTTGCCACAATAAAATGTCGCATTTTCTCGGTATTTCGACCATTGTAACAGATAAAGCCACTGGATGGCGTGGCGTCTTTATAAATAAAACCACCTAGGTGTTGCACATGTGTCTGTGTGCCGTGTATCAGGAGGCTGGAGTGACACCTGCACTCTGGTTGACACTCGCGCTGACGGCCGGCGCTGTAGCGTGCGCCGCGAGTGTAAATCATTATAAAATCTCTTTCATTATCAAGCATAAAATTTCGTACAACATCTACTTACGCATCGCGCGCGTGTAGCGGGGGTCGCGCGTCACTCACGGAGGCGTGTACTTCCGCTTGGGACTTAAGATGCTGAGTTAGGGTGAGAGATTGGGAAAGTGTCACTGATATCCTTCTCTCCCCCCGCGGCACCCCGCTGGCTCTTGCCGTTGTGACACCACCACTACACCCCTCGCTAGCCCGCCGTAACTGACGCATGCTGCGGCGCCGTCACCCGCGGCGGGGTTTCCGTGAGGCTGGCAGACGATCGGCTGAATGACCAGTGGATGCTGCGGGGGGCGCTAAGATGACCTCTCGCTGCTGGCGTGACAGCACAGTTACCTGCGGCCGTTCGTGCTCGCATGCGGCCCACTCCTGCACGCACAAGTTGCCGCACGCAACATCCACACCCCCACCCCGCACACTCACACACACGCACGTCTAAGGGTCCAAGAGGGCAGTGGAACAGCTACAACCACTTCAAGTCACACTCCACTTCTCCCCTTCAAACCATTAATTGTCATCGGAATTTCATCGCCGTAGAAATCGTCATCTGCCTCTGACTTGCATCTGATCAGGCAGCATCACCAGCCATCTTCAGACAGCATCACCAGCCATCTTCAGACAGCATCACCAGCCATCTTCAGACAGCATCACCAGCCATCTTCAGGCAGCATCACCAGCCATCTTCAGGCAGCATCACCAGCCATCTTCAGGCAGCATCACCAGCCATTTTCAGGCAGCATCATCAACCATCTTCATACAGCATCACCCAGTATCTTCATAAGGCAGCATCACCATCTTAGGAAGGCAGAATCACCAAGTATCTTCTGAAGGCAGCATCACCAAACATCATTTCCCGGCAGCACCAAGCATCATCTGCAGCGAGCATTACTATGGTTCAGTTGTTAAAGTCACCAGTGTTTCAATTGTTCCCCTCTCAAAGCAAGCCGTGAGTACTCCTCTCAAAGCAAGCTATGAGTACTCCTCTCAAAGCAAGATATAAGTATCTCCCCTCAAAGCAAGCACATGAGTACCCTTCTCAAGCAAGATATGAGGTCCCCTCTCAGGAAGTTTAGAATCCCTCAAGCAGCCACAAGTATCCGCTCAAGCAAGCCTTAGTTAGGTCCCCCTGCAGTTTAAGAATGGTCCTCGCTGTTCTATATCGCACAAGAATACGCCAGTTAGATCCCCTTAGTAGGATGTAGAGAATAACGCACACACGGCACACACACACACACACACACACACACACACACACACACACACACACACACACACACACACATTCCCAAGGAGCCGTAACTTTAAAAAAAAACCATACCACCGGCGGGATTGAACCCGCGGTATGGTTTGTTTGCGATCGTGTCATTACGATTTCGTGAGTCGAGCCGTAACTCTTACGATTTGAATAATAATAATAATAATAATAATAATAATAATAATAATAAATATCAATAAAAGAGAAAAATCCTGTCAATTTGACAGAGGATTTGACCGACAATGGAAAATTTGCCAGTCTGCTGAAGTCTGCAATTTCCGAGATTATATTCGCACTGGCTGTAGACTCTGCTGGTTTGCTTGATCAACTCTGCGTCTTGTTGGACCAACTCTGCGTCTTGCTGGATCAATTCGGAGTCTTGTTGGATCATCTCTGCGTCTTGTTTTGATCAACTCTGCGTCTTCTTCCATCAATTCTGCGTCTTGTTTGATCAACTCTGCGTTTTCTTGGATTAATTCCTGTAAAACATTTTAACCCTGTTTTTTTAAACCAAGGGGTTTTATACCAAAGTTCATTATAAACTCTGTTTTACAACCTTAGGTTTTAAACGTAAAATGTAAAATTTAAAACTTAAATCTTGTGGTTTAAAAACTCTGATATTTTAGGGCGAAATTTAAGATCTTGGGTTTTAAAACGATTGCTTTGAAAATTCGGGATTTAAGAACCATGGTTTTAAATTCTCTTGTTTTAAAAACTATGGTTTTAAATTTTGGGTTTTTAAAATCATAGTTTTGAATTATTAAGTTTTCAAAACCATAGCTTTGAATTCTCGGATTTTAAAAACAATGGTTTTGAAAATTAGTTTTTAAGGAAAAAATCCCACTGGTTTGAAACCTTGAGTT